TTTTATTATTATTGTTTTCATCTATTGAGATGAGCATATGAGTTTTCCTTTAAGTTGTTCATACGTGAAATGCATTAATACATTTTCTAATGTTAAATCATCTTTTTATTTCTTGGATTAAACTCTGCTTGGCCATGGTATGTTTTTGGTTCTTGTTATCTTTGAAAGATTTGATATTTTATCTAGGGTTTTTATGTCTATGTGTAATAGTGAAACTGGCCTTTGCTTTTCCCTTGTCTTTCTTTCCTTGCCCAGACTTGACATTCTGGTTATTTTCATAGAATGAGTTTGGTTTCTTTCTCTCCTCTTCTATTCTCTGGAACAGTATGTGTAAGATAAGAATTGAAAGGTTGTTAGAACTTCTCTGTAAAACTGATAGAATTTTTCAATTAATAGGTTTAAAACTACTGTTTCAATTCCTTTACATTTGATTTTCTGTTCTTTTTTTTTCTTTCTTTCTTGACTGAGTTTCAGTAAGCTATTTTTTTTTAGGAAATTATGCATTTTCTAGGAAAATATCTGTAATTTTAACTGTTGTGTGGGTATAAGCATGCTCTTTTGCAGTTTAAAAACCTACTGTGTTTATATCCCCTTTTTATTCTCTATATTGTTTATTTGTGACTTCTCTCTGTTTCTTACTCTATCTTATCAAAAGTACGTCTAGTTTTCTTAAAGTACATCTAGTTTATTGTTCTTTTCAAAGAACTACCTTTTGGTGTTTATTATGTGTGACAGATACTATTCTAGTCAGTAGAGTAAACAAAATGGATAAAAATCCCTTCCTTTGAAATTATCTTCTAATGCAGGGAAATTAATAAACAATAAGTTTAATAATAAACTAATAAATAAAAAACTTGATTAGGTGATGATTGTTTTAAAAATAAGTAGATCAGGATAAGGAAGAATGAGAAGACAGAGTTGAGGGAAGCATAGGCGGGTTCCAATTTAAATAGGGTGGTTAGAGGAGAGAAGATGACATTTGACAAGCAAAGACTTGAAAGAAGCAAGGTAATTAGTCCTGTGGATGTCTGGGGAAGACGCTGCAGGCAGAAGGAGCAACCAGTGCACACACCCTCAAGTGGGAACCTGTCCAGAGTGAGGAAGAGCTAGGAGGATAGTGGCTGGAACAGAGGAAACAATAGTCAGGGCAGGCAAGGGCTCCGGAGGGGAGGGCCTGAAACATTTAGGGCTTTCTTCCATTGTTAAGACTTTGGCTTTTATTCTGAAATGCCTCGGAGGCTATTGCATGGAGGTTTGGCATGATTTGACTTACTTTTCTGGCTACTGTGTTGCAAATAGACTGAAGGAGGCCAAGAATGAAGGCAGGAAAAGCATTGCAGGCTACGTAATAATTTTGAGAGTTGAAAATGGCTTGGACCAAGGTGGTAACAGTGTAGATGGTGAGAATAGTTTTAATTCTGAATATTTTGTTCTGGAGATTTACTCACCAGTTGTATGGGGATGTGGGAGAAAGAGAAGAGACAAAGATCTCCAGGAAAGTCAGCCTGAGCCACTGCAAGGCTGAGTTGCTAATGATACCGTTTATATTTCACTGTTTTTTTAAAATTTCAACTGCTTCCTTTGTACTATTTTCCTATGTTTTATTTGCAGTTGCTGTATTGTTTGGTTTTTTTTTTAACTCTCTGAGTTACAAGGTTACCTAATCTGTGCCTTTTCTCTTGCCCCCTAATATTTGCATTTAAGGTTATTCAAATCCACCTAGTGCTGTTTTAGCTACTTTACTCAAGTTTTGATATTGTATTGGTTCTATTGTCATTTACTTTTTAATACTCTAGTCTCTGTTATGATTATTTTTAACTCATTTGTTACTTAAAAGGGAATTTTTAAATCTTCAAGTATATTTTAAAATAATTTCTGTCATTGATTTCTAATTTTATTACATTTTATTTAGATAATGTTGTCTGGAATATACTGAGTCTGTGATGTCTGTGGGCCTCGCTTTGTGACATACTATGCTCATTTAAAAGGCCCCTTAATTCTCTGTCTGATGGATGCAGCCTTTCCTATATGACCAAAAAGCAGATTAATTCATGTATGTGATTCAAGTCTCATCTCAAGCAGAGTCTTTTCATCATTTCTTAAAAAAAAACAAAGATCAGAGCAGGCAAATTAGGCGTCTTCCTCTCTTGTGTCCTGTGGGAGCTCAAGCTGCTACAGGCCAAGGAGCCTGAAGGCTGCACTGTCAGAGTGGACTTCGTCGCACAGGTGTCCAAGACCTGACTGCTCAGAAAGGAGATGCAAGGGGACTTGGGGACCAGGTCTGGGGCTCAGATGCAGAGATGAGGAAATCACTGTCAGCACTCTCCAAATGGGGTTCCCACAAACTGCTCACAGTATCACATCCCAGTATACCCCAGATCCACATGCTTGTTATACATGTGCCTCCCAGTTACCTCTGAAGGCAGATAACCATTCCAGAAACCTGAAATAGCTGTCTTCCTTGTGAAGAGGACTGCACAAATCAGTCTGTAGTCTCAACTTCTGTGATTCTGTGCATGGCTTTGTTCCATGGCAGGAATGCGAGGTAGCTGTTAACGGCGCCAGGACTGGAGCCCTGTGCTGTGGTCACTGTGTGCCCTGCTGCTCCTGCTGGTCTCTCTCTCTAAGATGAGCTGGCCGTCAGGTGCCCCTTCTTTACCACAGAAGTAGACGTGGGAATGGGCTGTTTGGTATTGAAGATGGGCCAGATTTTCAGCTCCCTGGAAGGCAGGAGTTTCATGTTACCTTTTTTGGTTCAGAATTGTAAAAAGCCCCTTGGTAACCTTGACCATAAAATGTCAAGGGATCTGTTGGAAGGTACTGTAGAGCATATAAAGCTCATTGAGGTTCTTCTCTACCACCTGGCTGGGCAGCCACGTGCTGGGCACTGGAAGGCTCTGGACTGCTCATAAGGACAAGAAGTGATGAGGCTGAAATGGGGACCTTGAAATCCTTGGGAATGGGATGTTCAGACCAGAGTGAACCTAGCCCCCAGGGCAACTGCTCATTTCAGTGCCCAGGGTTCTTTTCAGAAAACTGTATTATTTAGCTAGAGCTGCTATAACGAAGTGCCAGCGACTGGCTGGTTTAAACAACAGAAGTTTGCCATCTCACAGTTCTGGAGGCTAGAAGTCTGAGATTAAGGTGACAGTAAGGTTTGTTCCTTCTGAGGGCTGTGAGGGAAGGAGCCATTCCAGGCCTCTCTCTTTGGCTTGGAGATGGCTGTCTACTCCACGTGGCTTCACATCATCTTTCTCTCTTGCTGTGACCAAATGTCCTCTTCTTGTAAGAACACCAGTCATAGTGGATAAGGGTCTACCCTAATGGCTTCATTTTAATGTAATTAACTCTGTAAAGACCCTGTCTCCAAATATAGTCACATTCTGAGTTATTGGGGGTTAGGACTTCAACACATGTATTTACAGGGGGACCTCAATTTAGCCCATTATAATATTAATTTAACCATGGCCTTTAATCTTCTCAGTTGAGCAATATTCATATTCTGCTCTGGTATTTTATCTTTAGACATGAAAAATATTCACAAATTTTGGTTACAGAAGTGATGCCTTTGATAAATGAGCTGATTATTATACTAGCTAATTTATAATGAATGCCTGTAAGCCCCGGTTTCTTTCTTTCTTCCTTTTAAGAACAGGCTTCACCTTGGATATTTCTTGGTTTTTTATTTTTTTGTTTGTTTGTTTTCTCTTCTAGGAGATGTACTTCCTACCCCACAGACAAAGTGTACTGACTTCCAGAATGCAAATCTCCTCCGAGGCACCAGTCTCAGAGTCCAGTTTCTCCTCTTCACCACTTCAGATCCTAGCTGTGGGCAGCTAGTGGAAGAAAGTAGTGACATCCAAAACACTGGGTTCAATGCCACTCTAGAAACCAAGCTGGTTATCCATGGATTCAGGTGGGAGCCAGCCAACCAATAGAAGCACCTCAGCTGAGAACTAGAAAATGACCACAATGCCATAGGAAGTTAGTGGGGAACAAGAGGAGAAATGGATTTATTGCCTGTCACTCACCTCCTGCTGACTTTGAAAATGTCTCTCATCAACATGATCAGACGTTGGGTTGTTCTTTCTCGTTAGTCATATATGTTACTCCTCTGCTCAGTCTCATCTACACACTCTCAAACAGAAAATATGTGTGACCCTGGACAAGTCACTCCAGCACACAGAGCCTTGGTTTCCATATCTGAGTAAAAGGGAGATTGTAGAGATGGTCTCAGTGATCCTTTCCTCCCTGAAGCGGGGGCTACATGATTCATCTCAGCCAATGAGGTCACAGGTTTTGTGCAATCGCTCAGGGTAACATCGTGGTGTTTTTATCCAGGGTTTTATTTCCTCTTCTTCACTTCTTCCTGGGTTTCATGACCTAAGAAACTTCCACTTATGAGTACTGTTTCCATCATTGCCAGAGGTTAGCATTTCTCAGGCGCTATATACTTTTCTTCAACTTCTTTGATGCCCTACAGTCCAAATTTTGTTGTAATATATTGTCTCCTGAGTCTCAATTCAGTCACCATCCTTCCTTCCATCATCTTCTCTCTCCAAAGCCCACTGACAAAGCCAGAAACAGAGAAAGGTTGCTGGGAGGAAACAGGGAGAACATGGGGTGACACAGTGGTACTCTAGAGTAGCTGGAGCTGGGAGCACTCGGTGAAGATGTGGGCAGTGAGGCACTGCACAAAGGATCATGGTTTTCTCATCTTTGGGTTCTCTCTGCCTCTCAAATCCCTGACTCCAGGGACCCAGCCACATCTTTCCTTAGGCATCCCTTCTCACTCTTGTGCCAAAATCTCTCCTCTGGCAAATTGTGTATTCGGGCATTATTTGAGACTGAGTGTGTACTCTCAACCCAGAGAGAGCAAGTGGAGCCTCGTCCCACTGTCTGCTCCCAGATGCTCCCAAAGCCATATTCCATGGCACACACCCCGTCTGGGCACCTCTGTCCCACAAGCATGCTCTCTGGGCTTTTGAGAAGACTTCTTTCCCATTCCCAATCTCTTGGGGAGGCTTTCTGAATGTATCTTATTTTTCTTTATTTCTCACAAAGCACTTAGCATACTGCCTGACCCACTTGTTGAATGAATGAAAGGATGAATGAATAAACAAATGAATGAAAACATCCTCAAGGAAAGTGCCTATATTATGGAATGATAATTAAGATCGCAAATCTTAACTCTAAGGTACAAAGCTACCTTTTCTATTCCATGAGTAGCACAAGCAGGGTTGGTACATATGGTCTGTGTGGTTTATGCATTGCATGGAGGTACCTGACTGAGGGCTGGTGGGGCTGAACTTTTATCTGAGCTCTGAGGCCTGAACCAAGCCTGCATCCACCTGGAACAAAGGCATCCTTTTATAATTTACTCATAGGCTGCATGTGTGCAAGTGGGAGCTCTGGTAACTTTGCGATTATGTCTTCCTTATGCTCAAAGTGCTGTAGGATTTAGTGCCCATAACCTGCCCCCCACTGTCCCCTGCCACTTGTGACATTTTTTCCTGTTTATAGAAATGTCATTGTAATTTTCACAATAACAGATATAGGCTAGGCAGATAATTTTCCTATCCTTTCTTGGCCCCACATTAGGGCTTTAGGAACAAAGCCTTCCTGGATTGATAAATTCATCGGCACCCTTCTGCAGGCCACAGATGCTAATGTGGTCGCCGTGGACTGGGTCTATGGCTCTACAGGTGTCTACTTCTCAGCCGTGGAAAATGTGATTAAGCTGGGACTCGAGATCTCTCGTTTCCTCAGTAAACTCCTGGTAGGTGTAGAAGAGCTTAGGATGAGTTCTGGCTGCCTATGGGGAAGAGGGGTCAAAAAGAAAGAAATGACACATGAGGGGGAGATTTAGGATGGAAGCAGAACTACCTCATAGCTTGTGGGTCTTTGGTTCAAATCTCAACTAGTTGCTCAAGAGGGAGTGGTGGTGGTCCTCACTCACACACTTTGGGTACCAAGGGGAAAGTGAGTGCGTTGTCAAGGTAGGAAGCCCAAGGAGAGGGCAAGTGGATGAGGATTCTGTACTTTTTTCCCAAAACATGTGTGGCTGGTGTGTCGTGCCCAGGACTCTGTGCTTCTGGTGCCTCAGGAAAAAATGTTACCCTTATAAGGCTAGGAGCTGCTGTGGTCCAAATGCAACTCATTGTAAATGCCCGTTCTAGGCTCTGGGTGTGTCACAGTCCTCAGTCCACATCATTGGTGTCAGCCTGGGGGCCCACGTTGCGGGCATGGTGGGACATTTCTACAAAGGCCAACTGGGACGGATCACAGGTAATGTTCTTACCTGCTCATCCTCTTGGGTTTGGAAGTAGAGAATGCCCTGGAAGAGCCTTTGCTGAGGCAGGCAGAGGGAGGTGTTGGGCCTCTGTTCTTGTAACTGAGTCATCTATCATCACTGAAATTTATTTATTGTAGCTCTTTTGGATAAAATGTACTGTTATCATTGCATAATCTCTAATGTCAGTGTTAAAGGCCATGTATTTCTGAGCATTAGTTTCTACAACTGTAAAATGGGTTGTAACAGCTCATATCTCCTTGGTCCACTATAGAAATTTACCTTGCGTTTTGCTGAATACTTGCAAGGTTCTGTGAACTTTATGCTTCAGGAGCTACCCTCAATCAATAAGGGACTAGAGCTGTGTGGTTAGTACCCTGGCTTCCTGGCACTTCAGTGAGACAATTCTGAGTCATATTCTACAGAGTACTTCAGAGGGACCTCAGTGGAATGAGACCCAAAATGATAATCTGTTCATTAAAATTTTCTCCCATTTTCTGACTTCCCTCGCTATGCTTTCTGTGATCTTCTCCCAAATAAGCTACTTGCACTTTAAATCCTTGTCTCAGGGTCTGCTTTTTGGGAGGAAGAGGGAAAGGGATCTAAGCTAAAACATGGGGAGACTAATATTTACTATACTGTGTTGTGTAAGGACTAGAATGTGTAAAGCTGCCCAGCACAAAGCTAGGCACATAGCGACTACTCAAAAAGTTATAGCTATTGTTATTACTACATGAGGCTTAATATTACATTAATCCTTACCACATGGTTGGTGTTAGCAGGTTCATTTTAGAGCCAGAGAAACTAGGTCACTGAGAAGTTAGAGAAATAGAGTAGAGTTTCCTGGGAAAGGTGGTCTTGAGCTATGTCTCTCTCCCTTGGGTCTTTGCTGGGGCTCTAATTTGAACTGGAAGAGCTGGTGTGTGTGCAGTGGGCCCATGAGGGTTCCTGCAGCTGAGATGAAAGGCCCCTGACATGTCTGTCCTTGCAGGCCTGGACCCTGCTGGACCGGAGTATACCAGAGCCAGCCTAGAGGAGCGCTTGGATGCTGGGGACGCCCTCTTCGTGGAAGCCATCCACACAGACACAGACAGTGAGCAGGGGTCGGGGAATGACCAGAGGGAAGGGCCTCGGAGGCTGACATTTGTCTGTGTGGTCCTGGGAAGAGGCCCTTTCCTTCTGAGCTTCTGTTGCACAGTGAGGAGTTTACCAGCATGATTTTGAAAGTCTCTTCCAGCTCTGTCGTTTTCTGAAGACCGAGATGAATTATTTCATTTTTAGCCAGCAGCAGGCAGGATTCTCATTTGTGGACCAGAGCTGTTTTTTGGTCATGAGTCTCTTTCTGATTCAACACTGAACCTCTTGATGAGGTAGTGCTCGGAGGGTGCTTCGCCTGGCAGACATACGGGAAATTTGTAATGCTTGTTTCAGGGTAAATACGCCTGGCCCCAGCAAATTGGGGCATTCCACTCCTGGGGCAGAGGCTGCTGCTAGTCAGGATTTGCCTCCTCCCCAGGGGATGAGCCAACCAGCCCTCATCCAGTGAAGAATGAGAATTGCCTCCTCCAATAGTGACAGGCCAAGGCAAGAACCCCTAACTCTGAATCCATCATGACCAAATTAAGCTCTTCTGATCGACTGGACAAGGGGGTGAGCATTCTTCCTCATTTCTACTGGATGTCAAACACCCACAGAATCTGGTGCCAGGTCTTGTGCTCAGCATGTTGGGTACGAGAAGTTACATCTGTCTCTGACCAGAAGAATTTGCAGTTCAAGTGAGAGATCGCCATATCTGATTCCATCTGATCAGAAGCTTTCTCTTAGCATCCAGATCTCACAGATTTATGGTTCTGGAGTAAGTTCATGCCGTCATGTTATTCAACCCTCTTTCCTACTTTTATTTCACAGATAGGAAACCAAAGCCCATAGTCCTCTGCTTAGCTATTAGGTTAATTAACCATGTTAATTGACAAGGTTAATCCTTCTGTTCCTGAATTTGCTAAATAGATGACTCATTGGTCCCATTTACCTGAGCTGGGCCTCTCAGTCCCCTTCAAAGTTGGAGCCTCTTCCTAATGTGATTTTTTAAAAAATCATTCCATTTATTCAGTTGGTCTTTATTGAGCTATGTAGCAGGCACTGAGAATAATGTAATGCAAAAGACACCAAATAAGATCTCTGCCCTTGTGGAACTTACAGGCTAATTGAGCAAGCGTTCATTCACTTATTCATTCAATAAATATGCATTTGGCACTCACATTTGCCGGGTACTATGCTGGTGTTGGGGATAGAGCAGAAAAAGGACAGGTAAAGGCCCTGTTGTGGTGGAGCCTATATACAAGTAAACAATTCCACTCTGTGATTATGGTAATGAGGGATATTGGCAAAGGGTGACTTGGCATGGGGTGCGAGGTTTACTTCAATTAAGATTATTGAGGGAGGTGTCTCCAAGGAGGTGGGAAGTGAGACTGCGAATGAGAATGAGTCAGCACTGGGAAGAGCTGGGAGATGAACATTCTAGGTGGAGAAGACAGCAAAACAAAAGCCCTTTGCTGTGAGTGGGGCAGGAAAGAGAACCATGTGGTTAGAGTGCAGTGAGTAATGTACTGAATAGGTTAGAGAAAAGCAAGCAGGACCAGGCTGGCCACGGCAAGGAGTTTAAATTTTATTTTACAATCAGTGAGAACTTGGTGGCAATTTGGATATCCTTAAAAGATTACTGTGGCTTGGTGTGCAGAGAATGGACTGCAGGTGGGCACTAAGGGAAGACTGGAGGCTCGTTAGAGGGTGATTGATGGCCTGAGTAAGAGATGATAGTGGCTTAGGCAAAGATGGTGGCAGGAGAGACAGAGAGAAGTAGAAGGATTCAAAATGTATTTTGGAGGTAGAGCTGATGGGACAGGTGCTGGGCAAGGATGGATTATTGCTTAACCCCAGGACAGATGACATTAAACAAATAATACATAATCAGTTGCTTACAATAGTGACAGATAATGTGAAGGAAGAAATCAAGGTCTTTGGCAGCTGAATCTGACCCAGTCTGAGGGTCAGATATGGTTACAATGATGAGATAAGATCTGCAGTCTCTCAAAGTCATCTCTTTATAGCCAGATTATATTTCTGCTCAGTCAGAAAAATACAAAAATGTGTGAGAGACTATAAATGTGACCTCAGACATACATATCTGAACTGTTGCTTGAAGCAAAATAGAAACTATTCAACAAGGAAATTTACTAAGCTTATAACATTTACTGATTCATAAAACTTATGTTAAGGATATTTTTCTTGATTTTATTAGGCAAATGAGTATCTTCTTACGAATTTATTCTTCTATTCCTTTCAGCATGACAAAACCCCTTTTGAAAACAATCTGAGGGCTCATTCTGCAGTCTCCCAGCACTTAGGAGTGAAGTGAGCACCCATTCAGCACAGAGAGGGGGTGGGCCCCCAAGGTCAGCCTTCAGGCTCTGCTACCAGTGAGCCCTGCTGTGGGACCTGGAAAATGGGCCCCTGCAGTGAGAGGGTAACAGGGTTCTCCTTTCAGATTTGGGTATTCGGATTCCTGTCGGACATGTGGACTACTTCGTCAACGGAGGCCAAGACCAACCTGGCTGTCCCATCTTCATTCATGCAGGTCAGGAGGCCAGAAAGAGTTGGTGTTTGACTACCTCAGAGACTGTAGTTTACCAACAGCCTTCCTGTTGAGTCAGCCAATGTGGGCCACTGTGAGCCTTCCTTACAGTGTCCTTTTCTCTATCCCATCAGACTTACTCAGCACTTACTGAATGGATGTCTTTAGAGCCCAGGAATTCTGGGGGAGGAGTGCTTGAAATGAAGAGCCTGCTCCACATTTAGGCTGCCCTTCCCACTTCTTAGGCCCTGCTGTGATCTAACATCACTCAAGCCAAGAACTACTACTCTTCCTCGGCCATCCTTTGTGGCGTAGTTCACACTAGCTACATCCTCTGAAGACCCTCGCTATGGCAGAAGCAGACTGATACGTGAAAGCTAGCTACCTGAAGGATCAATTCCTACCTCACTATTTCCCCAAACTTACTGAATTTAAGTTCCACAAAATTGTTTTCAGGATAATCTTCCTGAATACATTCAATGAATATATATTTCTTCTATTTTAAATACATTCTTCTGGAATGTCCTTTTCTGATATATTCATTGACTATATTCTTCTTGGCCTAATTTTAAATAATATTAAATTTATCAAAAGCTAAGCACTAAAGTTATTTAGTTTTCTTATGACTATAACCAGCCTATCAACATTTCATACAGGAATTTTATCTTGATTTCTATTTACTGTGTTTTTAGTCTTTTCCTGCTTTACCAAAATTTTAACACATTAAGGATTCTTTTGACAATTTTGTTGAGTATCCACTAATCCAAGTTACGAAATTTACTGATTTTCCAAAAACATGTTTCTTTTAACAGTTTATAAATTTTTCAGCAATTCTGATCAGATGAGATGGTTTTGTTTTGTTTTAATGGCTCTTGAAAATTTCTGTGACATTTTAGTTGCCCACTTTTCATTTTTTCCTCATAACACAATTTGAGAAGGGTTTAGTTTGTGTTTCCCAGCTCCCTGTTGCAGCTAGTAGGAGGTTGACTGTAGAGTGTGTCCAACCACGGGGGAAAGGAAAGTCAACACAAAGCTTAGACTTGGTTGCTGGTCCCAGAGAGGGGGTCTCAAGGTGATGGAAGAGTCTGAAGACTCTTCCTTGGAGTTATGGCTCACTATAGACCTCTTAGCCCTGGGAAATTCATCCAAGGTGAATTTTTAGAAATTTTAAATTAGTCAACAATAACAAGAAAACCAAATGTTTGTTAAATTGGGACATTTGTCAAATTCAGTGTTTCAGTTATTTGGCAAGGTGGACCTCAGCACACTGGCTTTCAGAGATGGACCATGAACTGCTGCTGACTCTCTTGATTGTCTTGTTGCTAGGTTGGGTAGAATGAGGTTTTAAAAAATTGGTTGTGTGGGTGATGCTGAAGAAGGTAAAAGTGTGCAGACAGATACCCATGTTGAGAAGTGGGGTCAGGATTGCCAGCTCTCTGTATGCTCCCATTTTCTGAAAGAGAGCTTACATGATCATGGAAGAATGGGTCTCAAATTAAGCAATTTTCTTGGTAGATTAAACTTAGTTATCCCAGGAAAATTAAAAGGAAAAGGGAGAGTGTTGTAACCATGTTCATTCATTTTTTTTTTAAATGTGGCTCAGGGGACATCCCATGTATTTATAGCCTGTTGGAATATAAAATTCAATAGAGTTACAGTAAGTGACATGGAGGGAGTTTCCATTTGTCTTGAACCGAAACCTTGGTTGTGTTTTTTTCGCCCTCTTCAGGCTACAGTTATTTGATCTGTGATCACATGAGGGCTGTGCACCTCTACATCAGCGCACTGGAGAATTCCTGTCCACTGATGGCCTTCCCTTGTACCAGCTATAAGGCCTTCCTTGCTGGACACTGTCTGGATTGTTTCAACCCTTTTCTGCTTTCCTGTCCAAGGATTGGTAAATGCTACCCCTTTGGCTTCCTTTGACAATTTGGGAAAAGTTCAAGTCTTGTCACCTCTTTAAGTCCTGATATCCTGTGATTAAAAAGTCTATCCAAGTTGGGTTAAAATTTAAGCAATGAGTTGTTCAGCCTGTTCTCATCTGTAAGGTGGCATTTAGCTCTCTGTGTCCCATGCCTTGCCCTCTGTACAGCAACCTGATGCCATACTCGCTCTGCATACACCCTTCACACACACACACAGCCTCAGGCCTGCAAGTCCAGCCTCAGGATGCTCTCTAGAAGCATTGGTATAGTCCAGAGCCCCTGCACCCAATCTCAGACCAGATACTTGCCATAAGTCTTCCTTGCTAGGCTAGCCACTCTACAATTCCTGATGGACTCTAAATCAAGGGGCTGCAGGGGAATCCCCAAGACTGGCACCCGTGGCCCACCTTACAGGCATGAGGCCGCATGCCAACTGGAAGAGTTACTAATTGTTGATTGGTCTGGGCACATTCCTGGATGATCCAGTCTGAGGAGAAGGGATTGGGAAGGCTGAGGGATTTGGCCTCAACTCACCCTGTGCGGATCATTGCTGTGAATATCCTGAGGTCATCTAGCCTGAAGGGCTCCAGAAAAAACTCTTTGGTAGTGTATGTAAATGGTTCCTTCTTCTTTGCTCTCCCACTTCCCACTCCTGGCTGCCAGTCAGCACTGCAGCAGCCTGTCATTGCTTATATGAATGAAATGAATATCAGCTTGACAACATGTTAAGGTAGAGGTAGTTTCCCATAATAAAGCAAATCAACATTTACTTCCTACTTATCGGGCATATGTCACTATTTCCCACAAATGTGATGGACCAGATGGTGTAACAATCACTTCACACTGTCTGTCCAGCCTCATCTCTCACTACACTTTCTCTTTTCTCCAGACACCCCAGGAACGCTAACTACTCAAACTGCCTAGAGTATTCATGTTTCCTCACTCTTTGTGCCTCTACCCAAACTGTACTCTCTGCCTGGAATGCCTTTCTCCAACTTGTCAACCCCTGTTCTTCAAGCCAAATACTTCCCCGTGCTCCAGTGCACAGGATACAGATGCCATTAAAACAATTGTCATATAGATTGTTTTGCAAGATGGAGACATCGTTTCAGATTTGTGACAAATAACCTCCTGGGAATGGGCCAGATAATGTAAAGAATGTATTTGCTGTATACTTGTTTATTTACCCCCATCTGGACAGAGTTGCATGTATCCCAGGACTCACTATAGGGCATAGCACATCACAAGCATACAGTGGAGTTGTCTGTGGAATGAATGGGTGCAGGAGTTAATCAATATGTGGCCTCAGGGCTCTGCTGTCTTTGCATCTTTCTTTCTAGGGCTGGTGGAACAAGGTGGTGTCAAGATAGAACCACTTCCCAAGGAAGTGAAGGTCTACCTCCAGACCACTTCCAAGGCTCCATACTGTGGTGAGTAGGGGGAAACACAAGGCTCAGCTCTGCCAGTGTGCTGCCCGGCTGAGTCCAGGGCTCCAGCTTGGATAGTGTCCAGTCCAGCATGGTAGCCGAGGTGTGAGCTGAAGAACTGAGGCAAGAATGTCATGGGATGGGAGAGGTGGGGGGCAGCAGCAACTGGTATTAGATAGAACCAGAACTTTTCAGAACACTTTGCTCTACAGATGAGAACTTGGGGGCATCTTACTTTACTGTCTGTATACCAATCCTAGTTCCTCCCCATCCCGCCATGGAAGTCTGCCTTCCAGTGTGGGTTCTCTCTAGAGTAGCATTTGGGGGTACCTTTTGGACTCCTCCATTCTGCATACATGTCCCCCTCCTTGGTGCCTGTCCTGTGTGTCTCCCACTCTGGCAGTCTTCCTAGGTCAGAGTCCATGAGAAATACTGAACCCCACCTTCTGGCCTATACATATACCAAACTGTTCACCATGGTTCCTGACCACTGCATTTCATTGAAGCTAAGATGCCAACGATTGTAAAAGATATTGATGTGGGAGAACAGGGTGTCAGAATCTCTGAAATACATTACAGCTGAACCATCCTCCTTCCCTGTGCTATTGGCATCTTGACTTCCTGATTTATTATCCTGGGACCCTGTCTAGTTTATCGTGTTCAGCACAGAAGTATGCTGGTTTGGACGGGAAATTATATGACCACTCCAATTCTAACTGATCTTCTGATAAGCTGGTGTCTAGTGTTTGATCTTTGTGTCCATAACTTCCTGGTACTAGAAGGCCTGTTGCAGTGTGAGATGGAGCCCGAAGCTCAGACTCTGTGGTCACCCAAACCTGGATTTGAATCTCAGCTTCTCCACTTACCAGCTGTGTGATCAGGAGCAAGTTCTTTCATCTTTTTTTTTAATTTAATTTTATTGAGTTATAGTCAGTTTACAATGTTGTGTCCTTCATCTTTTTGAAACTCTATATCTTTATGTGGAAAATGGGAACAATAACAGTACCTATTTCAAAGAATCAATTGTGAGGATGAAATAAAATACGTAGTACACAGGCAATCACCAGCATAGTGACTGGAACTCAATAAGTAGTAATTCCCTTCCTTCTGTTAATGGGAGCATTTGGGAGATGAGATGAGGGTGTTTCTAACTTCATGCCAGAGAGAATTCATGGCTATTTTTTTAGGAATAAAGTGGGTTACAAGAGTCAACTATAGGCTTTTCACATACATCAACTCATTTGACAACCCAACCCTGAGCGGTGATGTGCCCAAGACTGCAAAGGTGGGTGAAAAAGTCAGGATTCATCTCCAGGTCTTCTGACTCCAAAATCTCCACTCTTTCCACACCACCATCTGCCTCCACACTCGCGTCTCTGTCCTTCTTCTGGGAACCTACTTTTTACTGCTGTTTTTCTCAGTTGCTCTTGGGTCCTTGCCACCTCTCCGAGATCAGCCTGAGGGGGGATACTCTGTCCAGGTCAGAGGCCATGCTGTGGGGACCAGACATCCCACTTCTACTTCCAGCTTCAGGGCAGCTTTGCTGCGGCCTGAGCCAGCTCCTCCCTATCTGCACAACCAGGAGTTCCAGCTGCAGGGAGCCTGAGGAATATCTGGACGTCAAGGGCATTTGAAGATCCCTGCTGAGGGAGATTCACGGAGCCAGAATTTTTCTGTTTCATATTTGTTGTGAGACCTCCACCCCATGCCCCTGGAAGTATGGCCATGTCTGTTCAAAAACCTCAGAGAAGCACAGAAAGAAAGAACACCTCAGGCATGCTCTGAGCTTTCCATTCTGAGCATCAAAGCTGGGGCCCTCCTTTCCTGGGGGTCCAGGCTGCCCACCTGGTAGTCCACTTGGCAGCTCCTGCTCTCAGTCACTCTCAGGCCTCGTGTCATTGGGCTCCCATTGCCCAGCACTCTTGGCCTGCCTCGGCCTCAGCAGTGCTCACTAGGATAGTGGTCACCTTAACCCCTGCCAGGCAGGCACCAGCATGGACAGAGAATCTTCTCCAAATAATCATTTTTCTAACAATATTACTTTTCTCATATAGAGCAATGTTTCACACAAAGTGTTTTCTCTCTGTTACCTCATGTAATCCTCATCACGTTCTATGACGTGATGTTGGGGGTTATTGATTATAGATAAAGAAATTGAGGCACAGAGAGGTTCAATGACTTAGGCAGGGCGACATAGGTGGTAAGCAGTAGGGCTGGGCCTTGGATCCAGTTCCCCTGACACAGCATCCAGGGGTCATGTGTTGTTTGCCATGTCATGCACCCACACAGGCTGGATTTCACTGCCAGTGTCACCCACCCAACGTTAGCAGACCTGGCCCTCCTAGGGCTTCCAGGGTAATCAGAGAAAAGAGAAGCAGAACTGCAGGCAACTTTCTTGATTAGTGATACCTGCTGGTGAAGGAAGAAGCCACATAACATATCAAACTCAGCCCAGAGAATCAAATTCCTAAAACTTATGTAAGTTAGCTTTTATTCACATTGCAGTTATCTACTGCAGGTAAGCCCTTGCCTATCAACATTACAATCTGTGTCCATAGTAAACAACCAAGAAGGACAGAAGGGACCCGGCATCTGATGTTTTCCTCCGTGGAGAGGGAGCATACAGTGCTCTCTTGTCCTCTTGTGGGTTCTTAGCAGTGAGTCCTGTTACTAACCCCATGAGCTGAGATGGACCACAGCCCTCCTCCAATTTAGTGCTGAGTCTACCTAAATCCACTTAATCCCACCTCCTACTATTTGCTCATAAAACACAACAAGTGAAAAAGTATAGATAGGGCAGAGATGAAGGACTGCTTCTCTAGCTATGTTCCAGTCACCAAGGAGTCTGTGAAAATGCTCTTGAGACCAGAGTCACTGCAGGGTGCCACCAGATGGGCTTACCCCTTAATGAGGAAAGAATGGGGTGTTGGGGAAGCGGAAATCCTTCTTAACCTTTCTTGCCAGAGGAATAGCAGGTCCTGGGGTATCACTGTGAACCAGGCTGCTCACCCAGCCTGTGTTGGCAGTACCAGCTTTGAGAGCCCCAGTGTCTGTGCAGTTCAGGATAGGGGAGATGCCACACACACAGGCACTCAGCCGCCACAGGGAGGACAGTAGTCATTCCTGCACACACAGGGGGTTCCCTGACACTGTGTGTGTGGTGAGGGCAGGAGGAGTGTTGCTATATTTTATGAGTTAATTATTTAGTATAAGATAGACCTTTTTTGGTTCTTTCAGAATCACACCATCAGGATGATGTCACCAGAGAGGAGTGGGACATTCTAGGATTACGAGTAAAAGTAAAAACAATCACATGTTGAATGATTAATTCCTAGGCACAAGCACTGAGGGCTTTATATGTATTAACTCATTTAATTCTCATTCAGACTTGTGGAGTATCTATATTTATTATCCCAGTTTACACTTGAGGAAGCTGAGGGCCTGCAACAACAGGTAATTTGCTCCAGGTCACACAACTGCTAAGAGGTAGGGCGAGATTCCTAACTGCCCTGCTGCTCTCTGGGGCTTTTTGTGCATTGCCCCCAGTGACCCCTGGCCCAGTCATCTGTTCTGCTTTGTTTTCCTAGTGCATCACAACCTTGTGGAGTTTTACTTGCAGGAGCCAAGAAACCGGGACACCTGTATCACAGTCACCTTCCTTGGCAGCAATGTCACCTCGTCGGTCAAGATCACCATGTACGTAAGTGTCCCACATGGCTGGCCTCTCTTCTTCCATTTACACACATGCATGTATACCCCAGGACAGGCACTATGTGACCACTGATGGGTGGGCTGAGCTGACTGGGCTGGGGCAGCAGTGGAGAGGGCAGCACCTACCACAGATGGACCCACAGACACATGCTGGGCAACTGTCCCAGGTTCAGGATCAGTACTAGGTTCAAGCATAGTGTATTCAGACAATAACAGATGAGCAGGCAAGCAGCCATAGTGGGATGCCCTAACAGGTAGTGAGTTACTGAGAATTAGGTCCCTGATAGGAAACAGCATCAGGAATCCAGGCAGGGGGCATCATGGATGTCAGCAAGTAGGAGGGCCTCTGCCACCAGCCCAGGGAGGGCTGGCCAGACCCTGGGAAGTACCTACTTCTGGACAGGTGGTTAGGTGGAGTGCAGGGGAAATGGGAAGGCGGGTGGGGGAAGCAGACCTAGGCTGTTATGGGAACAGACTCCCAGGCCCCCCACATCACTGCCCGAAGCAATCTCCCACCTGTTCCAGGAAGCCTAAGAATGTGGTTTGCAGAGGGATGGTTGGAGCCCAAACAGGCCCACGACCAGTGCCCATATGTAGAAATGGACAGTTGTCAGCAACGGCAGGTGCTATAAGAACAACTAAGAGCCTGATGGAGTGTGAAGAAACAATGTCTGAGTAGAAATCTGAAGGATTCGCAGGATCCTTCGCCCCAGGTCGGGAGTTGGTGAGATATGACACTGGGAGTGGACAGTAGCGGGGCACGTCATGGGGAGAGGAGGCTGGAGGAGCAAGTCAGGACCAGACCATGTCGCGCCTGGAAAGACAGGTTGGAGGTTTTAGTTTTTATTCTGAGAGCAGTTTGGGAATTTTAAGCAGGACAGTAACAAGATCAGATTTGGATCTGAAAATAGTTCTCAGCTTCAGTGACGGCTGTCAGGGAAGACAAGCTTCTGCGGGGAGGAGCACATGTCTGGGCTCCCAAACACCCTGCAACCAGCCAGGTCTCCAGCTCATCCATGCCACGCAGCACAGTTCGGCAGGCAGCCAGGACCTCAACATAGATCTTGTGGTGCCCACATGAGCCTAGCAGATTCTAACTGAATAATTTTCATTAGATCAGTTCAAAGTCATGTTAGTTCCACAAGGTACATGTTACTTCTGTCACCTCCTCTCCAACCCACTGGTAGGTGAGCCAAAACTGGCAAGAGTCATGACAATGACACACGACTCTGGCTGCTCGTTAGAATCACCTGGAGAGCTTAAAAGAATGCTGACAGCAAGCCCCACCCAATTGCAGGAGACTCTCCAGGCATGGCCTCAACCATTACACTTTTAGAAGTTCCCTGAGTGATTGGAATGGATGTCCACTGATTCCTTCTTCCTTCATCCCAAAGATATTTGCATTACTGTTTTGAAGAAGGCAATTAGAGCATGATTATCTTCAATTCTTTGGTTTTTGTTTCCTCTTGCAGAACAGAAATTGAAAAAGGAGATGGGGGCATTTAATGTGTGGCCTTTCCCTTACTTTCCATAACTTTGTGAAACCCCAAGATTTCCTGCCAATTAGAAAATTTACCCGGGCCAAGTCCCCAGGCCACTCATTCACAATGTCCTTTACAGCCATTAGAGTTTTCAAGCTCTCCATCCAAACAACCTCTTAAAGTGAAGAGTCTTCGTATATTTTCCTCTGAAATACTTCAAAAGAAATCTTAAGTTAAAGAAAAAAAGGAGAAAAAGAAAAGAAATAAAAGAAAAGAAAAAGAAAGAAAGGGAAAGAAGGAAAGAAAGAGGAACAGCTTTTAAACAAAGTTTCACGGGATCTTTCTCAAAAGGACAAAACAAACTGTATGACTAACTCTGGGTTAGAAAGTACAAAACGAAGACATTTCATTAGTCTGCAGAGGTCAGAAACAAAAGGGAAACCATGCTTAGCTTAGACGACACTGAGGAGGGGAAAACAGCACCCTCTGGGCTCTCCTTCTTTCTCATAGTCCCTCTTTCTGAGTCCAGAGGGGACTGGAACAGGCTGGCAGAGCAGAGGGGAGGGAGCCGGGGCTTAGACCTAGTGCTGTGTGCCTCCAAAGCCACAGCTGGGAGGAGACCACACCTGGACTTCAAAGCTTGTTGTTTGTTCGTTTGTTTCCATCCACACATTCTTGCTTACTCTAAAATATAGCAGACAGCACAGAAAATTCTTGGAACTGAATGCCTGGGAAGAAGCCTCTACTTCCAGGTAGATGGACCTGAGAATGAGATCTTCACCAATCTACAGTCAGATCTGCACTAGCTAGGACACTTTTCCAGATATGAAAATCCAAGAGCTACTATTTTTGCTGCAGAGTCCACTTATTTACTTTAAAAAATCAACGCCTATTTTCTGCGTCCTGTTCAAAGTTGTCGAGGTGTGGGCCAAGAGTCTGGTGAGGGTGAGGCAGAGGATTGTGGTGCCCACCTTCTAGGAGCTAACTGACCAAGCTTCCTGCAGAACCCCTGTGAGCCAGGGGGAGGCAAAGGACAAATGTGCTCTGCAGGCAGGGCGAATGACGTAAGCAACAGGCTGCAATTTAAGGTTTATGCATGTTGCAGCATCCATCCAAGCAGCCTCTTAGAGTCAGAGTTTCCTTCTTTTTAAAGGGTGAAGAATACTCCATTGTGTGTGTAAATGCTACTTTCCCTTTCCCTTGCAGACCTAGACAGCACCGCCATGGGAAAGGAGTCATAGCTCACCCCAACCCTCAGTGCCAGATAAGCCAAGTGAAACTCAAGTTTCAGGCTTCCCACCGGGTTTGGAAAAAAGACCGGATGACCATTATCGGAAAGTTCTGCACTGCTCCTTTGCCCGTCAATGACAAGTAAGCTCATTGTCCACCCCACCCCAGACACACCTGCAAGGACCAGTCCTGACCTTAGATATGGTATTTGTTGATGTGTAATCTCATCAAGATGATGAGCTTCTTTGATGTAGAGATGACAGAGACCCAGGGTTTTCCTGAGCCTCCTGCAGGGCCATCTTGGGTTGGGATGCTAAGAAGCCAAAGAGGGTAGACTTTAATTCCTCATTCCCACTTTAATATAAGAAACACCATTTTATTTGGTGTATATATATATATATATATATATACTCTGTATTATGTATCCATTCTGTTTAGTTTCTGTGTAAGAGTTTATTGGAACAAAGATTACTCATTGCTTACTTCCTCTTCTTTAGCCTCCACTGACCACATTCATGGGTGGACCTAAAATTGCCATCCCATTTACCTCATGTCTAGCAGGCATTTAGAGACTTACCACACCTGGGCCCTCAGAGCACAGGAGTAGGCTCCTCTAGTAATCCAGGGATAATCGTCCTCTAGACAGTTGTAGACCTCTTTCACATGACATCAAGGAAGCAGGAGCACACGCAACTCATCCCTCCCTCCTGCCCAGCAGGAGCCTGCCCTGAGCACACACCCTCTTGTTGCTCTTGTCTTGCAGTAAAAATATGGTCTGCTTACCTGAGCCAGTGAACTTACAAGCAAGTGAGACTGTTTCTCATGACCTGAAAATAACCTGTATATAGTATAAGGGCAGGATCCAGCTCCCTGGATTGGGGATAGGGGGTGTGGGTGTTCAACTTACTGTAAGCCATTACTAGTAAGAAGGAAGGCTAAACTCTTTATTTTACCCATAATTACAGATAATTATGTAGAGAGCTTTATCTCCATTGTCTATTCATAGAGCCTTACAAAGATACCGTATGAGCTTTCCTACTTACGCTTAACTGAAACTGCCTCATATCCTTGGGCATCTGTACCTAGAATTCAATAGAAACCTATACAGGGAAAAGTTGTGTTTTTTCCCAAATAAAACTCCATGGAATATCTGAATCATTTAATTGTTTTATTGGAATGGAATTCTGTTACGTACAAAAAAATGTGACTTACAATCTGTGGGACTGGAGAAAACAGTAGATGCTGAATTCTCTGTATTAAAATAGCAATTGAAAAGAAGTGTTTGGACTAAGAGAAGGGATGAAGGGTAGGGAGGAAGATGGCACCATTCAGCATCCCTTTCCATTGCCCTCTCTGGATACCTGGAAGGTTTGGGGGATCAGAGAGATTTTTGGGGAATATAGGTGGATTTTCCTTAGGTCAGTGTTTCCCAAACTTTGATCTTTACAAATAACCCTGTATCTAGCCACAGTCCAGGAAGAAACAGATGCTGCACTCAAATTGTATAATTTGAGGAGGATTTAATAAAAGGACTATTTACAAAAGTGTTAGTAGGAGGTGGGGAAACCACAAGGGACAGTGCAGTTCCCTGCAGCTAAGGGCATTGGGGGCTGCTTCTGCCCTGGGTCTGAAGAGGTGAGAGGAAGGAGCACCAGAGTCTGGAGACAGAGAGATCTGCAAGACCTTCAGTCAAGGGACACAGTCACCGGGCAGCAATCCTGCAGGGAGGGAAATGGGGAAGCAGATTCTCCAACTTTGCTCTTCTTTCCTCCCTCATTCTCCTGCTGGTGCTCCCACCGAGTGACGTGAACCAGAAGTTAGAAGACAAGAGGCGTGTTGATGTGGCCCCGGTACATAAAGCTGGGCAGAGGATGATGAGAGTGGCTGGGGTGGGCTTGGGAACAGAGAGAAATGGCACATACCTTCACCACTTTCTCCGTAGCCAGGTACTCCATAATGATTTTCTTTACCTCTGTTAAAAATCATTTTAATTATTTTAAGTGTACAATTCAGTAGTATTAAGTACAATCACATGGTTGTGCAGCCATTACTACTATCCATCTCCAGGATTTTTCCATCATCCAGAATGGAATCTCTGTCCCCATTTAACAATAACTCCCCATTGCCCCTTCCCCCAGCCCCTGGTAACCAGCATTCTAATTTCTGTCTCTGAATTCTACTCTTCTAGAATACCTGATACAATCATACAATATTTGTCCTTTTGTATCTGGCTTGTGTCACTTAGCATAATGTTTTCAAGGTTCATCCATGCTGCAGCATGTATCAGAATTTCCTTCCTTTTTAAGGGTGAATAATACTACACTGTATGTATAAACCACATTTTGTTTGTTGATTCATCCATCAACAGACACTTGGGTTGCTTCCACCTTTTGGCTAATGCTGCTATGAACATGGATAGACGTACAATGTTTGAGACTTAAAAAAAATCTAAATAAATGGGCTTTGAAAGGAAACTGCTGACTTGCTGATTCACTTTCCACAGTAAAAGCAGACGAATGACATAAGCAACAGTCTGCAGTTGCTCCACTGGGGCCAAATCACCCATATCACCAGGAGAGAGAGCTTTTGCCTTTGTCCAAAGGACAGGTATTACAATGTGAATGCTCACATACATGCTTTGTTTTCTGCACTGTCCACCCAGTCAATAGGTAAACAACATGTCTGAAGAAATTTCTTCAGTATGCAGGCTTGGAGTTCTTTTTATTTTTTTCAGAACCCAAACCCCTGTTTTGTTTACTCCCTCCCTTTACTCCACCTAGGTTTCGGGCAAGAACCTCCCTCAAGACAGTCCTACCCTGAGCTGTATGAGGCTGCACTTCCTGTTCCTCCAGCTCTATGTCATTTTAACACATTTGCCATCCTGAGAGCCATTGCTCAGCACAGAAATCTTCCTCGGTTTTCTCTGCTGTTCATTGCTGCAGAGCGTGTGTAAATCATGCTGCTGTGATCAAGGTCGTGTTATGCGATGCTAATGCTGATTGGAGTTACGCTGACTTGCTCTGTTTTTCCCTGCCTTCATACTTTCTCTTTTGCTTCTGGGTACAGCCCTGTTTCTTTGCTGATATATTCTTACTTTTAAGCACCGTTAGACACTCTCATATTTTATTTTCCTCCCCATCAGAAACTTTAGATCATTACCTTAAATGGAAAACCAGTTTCCCTTATCATAAGTTAATCCTAAAAATAAATACAATGGGAATATAACAATATTTAAAATTCCAACTAGATACCGTGGCTTGCTGAAGGCTCTATGCCCTAGGCCTGTTTTTTCCTTATTAAAAAGAAAAGATTAACAAGTATGAGAGAGTTGTCAAAAACTTATCAGCAACAGAGACTTTCTTCTATATATGTAATCAGTGGATTGAAAGAAATTTAAAGCATGACTAGCAATGTCACCATGAGATTGGATGTTATTTAATACTGGGTGTATGTGCTACCTTAAACTGCCTTGTACACGGCCCACACTCTAGGAAACTTGGCTCTAGGTAGGTGGGATGTGTGTAGGGTTAGGAAAAAGGGAGAGATACTAAGGAAATTGCTTAATGGCAGGGCAACGGCAGAGCATGAATTAAAAAAAGCGGAGAGTGAATCTTCCCTCCACACCCATGTCACCCCCAATCTCTGCTGAGAACTTTTCATGAACAGAGACTACTACAGATGTACTTAAATTCAAGAATCAGCTCCAACCTTTACGTGGCACTACAAACGTGATTTCCAGAGCCCTTCCAGAGCCAGTCACTCTACTCTGAGTATGTTCAGTCTGTACCACAGAGCCAGGACTGGGCTCCATACCTCAGGCCTTCTCCCCCAGGCTATAACCAGGGGCACGTATTCATTTGTTCTTCATTGTCATCCTCCTTGCTTCACCCAAGAGCCACTTCAGGTGAACCTACAATTCTTCAGC